TCCTAATGTCCTCATTCACTCTCCATAATAACTCTGCAATGAATTATCATTCACAACTCAGAAATGAAGAAACAGGCTCAGAGAAAAAGTCACATGTCACACTACTGTTAAATAGCAAACGATCCAAAATAAGCACAGTGCCTAATACACAGAAATGCCCCCATAAATATTAGTGGTGACCATTACCTACCACGTGGCAAAGCCACGCAAGCCCAGGTCTGTCTGACCCCAACACCCATCTTCTCTATTTACCAACTATGTGCACACAGTACAAACCTCAAACAGGTAGAAGGGCATGGAATGAAAAGGGAGAGGCTTCTGCCCACCCAGACCCCAGAGGTCTGCTTCCAAGAAGCAACCACTTTCTCCTGGAGAGATTTCCCATACCGTGAAGTACACACTGTTCTGTACCTTAAAGCCATCGGGCTGTTCAGCTGGACTCACTTGCCTGGAGGAGCTGCACTTGACATTTCTGCCTGTTCGCAGCAAACAAAGGTGGTCCCTGGGTGGCACAAGCAGTTTGAGCCCAACTACTAACTGAAACACTGGTGGTTCAAACCCACCCAGCAGCACCATGTAAGAAAGGCCTGGCCGTGTGCTTCTGGAAAGATCACAGCCAAGAAAATCCTGGAGCTCAGCTCTACTCCTAACACACGCGATCGCATGCGAGTTGCAATCGACGGGACGGCACCAGGTTTGTTGCTGTTTTCTTGGTAGAAAATTTCACTGCAGCTGATCTGACGACTGGGGTGAAGTTACAAGATTCTGAAAGTCCATCACAATCTGTAGACTCAAGGGGATGCTTCCGGCAACATTTAGGGCATGGGTCAAGCTGTGCAGTGTACCCCATAAGGGCCAACGGGGTTGGTCTGCCTGGCGGAGTGGCTGGCTAGAGGACACCCTGATCAGATGTCCAGGCCCTTATATGGCCCCAAAAGGGCTTCAGCACGAAGCTGGCAGCTGAACCAGATGGCTGCCACACTCAGGCACTCTGACCTTGCAGCTGGGCCCACATCACACCATAGAAGGAAGAAGGTAAAAGCAGAGACCTGGGTTCAATGGCTTCACCTTTCCTAGCTTTGTAGCTTTTGAAAAAAGCATCTCACCTCTCTGAGATACAGTTTCCTTGCTCATCAAATGTAACAACAGTGCCTACTCTACAGAGTAATGAGGACTACATGAAATGACACCTGTAAAATGCCATATTGTCAACTTTTTAGCAGTGGTAACAACCTTAAGGAGGCTGCTCTTTGGACATGACAACAGGGCCAGGTCAGGAGTGACACAATACACCGCTCTCCCTGGAAATGAGAGGCTTTCCCAAGATGTGCTGAGGAGAGGACATCCCACAGCAGACTTTAGGACACAGGAGCAGCTCTACTGGTACCACTCGCATCTTTCTGGGTGTGTGTGTGTGTGTGTGTGTAGGGAAGGTTGAGGACTCTTGTGCTAGACCATGGGGAGAGATGAGGCTTCTCAAGGAGGGTTCCATTTAGCTTTCAAAGCTACCTGATTGCCTTTCCTGAGCCCGTCAGAGACTGGGTAGGAGAGAAACCCCGCTGATCCTGGCTTTTCAGGTAAGATCTGTTTCCTTCTGCAGCAGGGGTGCTATTGTCTTGATTTCCCCAAAAAAATGGCAAGGCTGGGTGTGGCACAGAAAGAGATCCTCCACTCATAAAAAGCTCACTGTGTTCTGGGTGAGAAAGAGATAAGGCTCTAGAGCTCCAATCTCATTGTACTGTGGCTGTGCCAGAAACCCAAGTCCACAGGAAGCCCAGGGAGGCTGAGATCTCCAGCCCTGCAGCCTGGCATTCACCTGAGACCCACAGAAGGAGACAGCCTGTACTTCCAGATCATTTAAGATCAGAGAATGGAAAACCCATTGCTGTTGAGCCCAACTCAGAGTGAGATAGGCAGGGAATCAGGCTAACCGGTCAAACAGGCCCTGACTCAATACCCTTGGTGCAGACCACCACATGATTTTTGCTTCTGGCTGGGGGACGAGCCAGGCCCTTAGGCAAGATAAGAAATTACATCTCAAAAGCCCCACAAGCTGAACCATAGTAAGAAGCTGATAAACCTCCCCAGTTGTCCCTTCAAGTACTTTACCAGGTGCAGAACATGCACAGTAAAATTCAACTTGACTGACAGTGACCTTCCACCAGAGGCAGTCAAGAATAGGAATCCCCTGCCGGGACTTGAACCAGGGTCCAGAGACATCATGCACACGCAATAGTAATGGCAACATCCCAGCAGCCTTCGCGCTGGGTTCCATCTTTGTTCCGAAGCAGTGGAATCCATCTTGGCTATCTCCTGCGTATACATCTGATTTTCAGAACCCCATCTTTTTCCTGGGAATCCCCACCCATTCCACCTAAAACCCTTTACACCAAACCAAAAAGCAAACTCACTGCCGTCAAGTCGGCTCCAATTCATAGCAGCCGCTCCTTTGGTTTCCGAGGTGGTATCACTACAGAAGTAGATTGCCCAACCTTCCTTCTGAGGAGTGGCTGCTGGATTTGAACCACCAGCCTTCTGGTTAGCAGTCAAATGCCTT